TCCATTGTTAGGCTGATGGTCCTTCTTGAGCATGTGATCAGCTGGTTTTGGTTGTCAGCAGCAAACTGGTTGATCCACTCTGAGAAGGTGCTATTTAAGAGACTGAGCTGAATACAGCACCTCAGACTGAGGAAGTCTCTCGGATGAGAGACGAAACGTTTCTACATTTTTTGTTGATTTGCTTTGTTTTGTTTTTTTTGAATGTCCAGAGGACCAGATTTAACTTTTTTAGATTTCATATGAAGGTTTGTCTTGAAGAGGACATATCACAACAAATCAGTATTACTACAGTAAAAGTGACAACACTAGAAACTTTACGCAGTTTATTTCACAATAACACAGATGTCCACTCTGTCTGCTCAAGCATGGAAAATGTCAACTATTGTCCCAGTGCCCAAAATAACACATGCAAAGGCACTGAATGACTTCAGACCAATTGCCCTCACATCTGTATTATGCAAAGTATGGAGCGCTTAGTGAGCAGAGAACTCATGTCTGTTACAGCTGAGCATATGGACCCTTTGCAGTTTGTCTATAGGACTAACCGAGGGGTGGAGGATGCCACTCTCTCCCTCCTCAACAAAGTCCTTAATCATTTAGACAACCCAAAGACATTAGTTCGCATATTATTCATGGACTTTTCATCAGCTTTTAATACGGTTCAGCCACATATACTTTTAAAACACCTATGTGATCTAAATGTCAGCAGCCATCTTGTGTTGTGGATTAGCAATTTTTTAAGAGGAAGACCCCAGCGAGTTCGTGTTGATGACACTATCTGACTGTAGGGTCTTGAACACTGGTGTTCCACAGGGTTGCGTGCTATCGCCTCTTTTATTCTCTATATACACAAATGAGTTGCAACACAACAGTAAAGATTTCACATTAATTAGGTATGCTGATGACATTGCCCTAGTTGCTGGTCTGAAAGACACCAGTAGCCCCTCCTACTCCCAGCTCATAGACCAGCTCTCTGACTGGTTTGATGACAGTTTCCTGGCCCTTAATGTCAGTAAAACCAAGGAACTTTGTTTGGGAGGAAGATGGGGAGCAGCCAGCACCAGACCTACTTTCAGGCCTTCTATTATAAAAGGGCAGGAAGTAGAGCAGGTGACTAATTGTAAATACCTTGGAACAATAATTGACAACAAGTTGACCTTTGAACCCAACACCGACTATATTTACAAAAAAGCCAGACAGCGTCTCCACCTTCTGTATAAACTAAGGAGCTTTAATGATAGCAAAATTACTTTGCAGTTGGTGCACAGGTCACTGGTTGAAAGTGTTGTTTCATTTAATATTGTCTCATGCTATGGGAACCTCCCAGTCAGAGACAGGAACAAGTTGTCCCGGGGGTCAAACAAGGTAGTAAAGTCACTGGTCATCAACAAATGACACTTACAGACCTGTACAGTCAGGTTCTGGAAAAAAAGGCAATCCAGGTTTACAATGAGCCAACTGATCCACTGCAACCATTATTCAGGTTGGTACCATCTGGTAGAAGACTCCTGGTTCCTTTAGCAAAGAAACATGGTACAAAAAGTCATTTGTTCCCTCTGCGGTGAATGAACTTAACAAGGTTCTATTTAAACGCAGCCTCACATAACAAACCACTGTCTGCTGAGATGTTTTCATATTCTAATGTATCGTGTATTTTAGAATGGTTTTAACTGAATGTTTTAACTGATTTAGCAAAGTTTGGTTTTAAAGTTTTTTAATCACATTTTTATCTTGTGTTGTTTTTATGAGCCAGATGTCAAAGACAAATCTCCATTTCATTGAATGTTATGGACAATAAAGTTGAATTGATTGATGGGTCTAAACTCGGGCTAAGTTACATGCAAAATATAAACCCAACCTAAACTAGGTTGGCCCACTTCTATGAACTAACATGAACTAAACATGAACTAAACATGAACTAACATGAACTAAACATGAACTAACATGAACTAAACATGAACTAACATGAACTAAACATGATACACCCCGACAAAATCATGGCACAAATTTATGGCACAACAGCAACAAACTGAATTTAGACACTCACCAAAACGTCTGGAACAAACTAGCAGGTCTCTTGGGACGCTGGAGAAAGTTATGAGGACGTGTCACGTCTCCTTTTTGTTACGTCCGACACATGAGCTCCTGGTGGAGAATCTATAAAAGAAAAAGTAAGTTTTCGATCTTTTTACAATTCCGGTTATGTGAAAGGACATTACATCCAATAACGCAACAATTTTGGACCATCGCTAAAGTGTTTTAACCTACTTAGATTTAAAAGAAAGTCAGCGAGAAAGCTTGTTTTCGACAGTTAATATGGAGGACTGTAAACATGGGGATCCGGCCCCATCCTATCCCATCAGCCGCTGTGCCGTGGACAAGTGACATCACGCTCTAAAGCTCTATAAGCTTACAGTAAAAACAAAAAACTAGTGAATTTTTTTAATGTGTATTACATCACGTATCAAAACAACAGCACTATTTAGTCAAAATAACAGCGACCAAAATGTTGAAAAGACAATTTATCTAAAATAAATGGACGGAGCTGGTCAACAGAGGCAGTTGAGATTGGAGCAGAGCACACAGGACTGAATTCAGCTGAGAAGAGTTCAGGTCGGCACTCGGCAGTGTGTGTGTGTGTGAGTGAGGACGCCTGACAGACTGTCAAGGACGTGCATTCATACACAGGCTTGTAAACTGTTGCTTTCTAAAATAGTAATTTCAGTTCAACCTTTATTTACACAGGTTGTTAGTCTCAATGAGCCTCGTCATTTACAAGAGAGACCGTTTTTAATCAATTTAAAAGGTTTAACCTGTTAAAATACACCAAAATGCAGGAAATGGCATCTCATTCCAAATTTTCTGGGGAAGGACCCATGGATCACCCCCACAATTCACATCGTTTTTAAATTAGCCTTTTGTTACATGGGTCAATTACTCAGAATCTTTAATGAGGTACTAAAAACATGTTCCACACAAGTGCCATTTTTACATCACATGCACGGCTTCAGTTGGTGCAACAATCACTGCCAGTAGATGTCACCCAAGTGGATTGAAAGCAGCTTCGGGTAGTGAACCACTTTATGACAATGGTTTAAAATGATTGCTTCAAAAAAAAAAAAAAAAAGCTTCATTTTGACATCACTATAAATCTGTCATGCAGTTCCAAAGTTAAAAACCTTGGGGTCATTTTTGATCAGGACGTCTTTTAACCCCCACATTAAAAGTCCCCTCCTTCCACCTGTGTAGTAAGATTAGGAACCGCTTGTCCAAAAATGCACTTCATGCATGTCCATGCTTGACTATTGCAATTTACCATCTGGGTGTCCATAAACTTGTTTAAAGTCTTCCGCAGGTACAAAATGCAGCGACCAGAGTTCTAGAGTTTATAGGTGATCAGATTTTTCAAGTTTTAGCTTCTTCCCTTTAACAGTCAAATTCAGAATAGAATTAACATACAAAGCTCAACCTCACTTCAGTTTTTGCTTTTTTTAAAAAAAAAAATAATAATAATAAACCTTCTCTCAGACTGCAGGTTTACTTGTGGTTCCTGGAGTTTACCAAAACAGAATGGGAGGCAGAGCTTCCAGTTATCGGGCTGCTCTTTGTGGAACCAACTTCCAGTTTCTGTCCGTGAGGCTGACACGTTACCCAGGTTAAAGACTTTCCTTTTTGATAAATCCTATATAGTTGGGGTCAGCCCCAATTACACAGGAGAGCGGTGGAAACTTTAAAATAAATAGAAACAGTATCCAGAACTAGCAACACAATTTATTGACTCTGCTCCCCCAAGACAGCCACCTGTCGAAGAGCTGAAAGGTCTAGTTCATGTAGTGGCACTCCACTCCGATCACAGTTCTCTGGCTCCTTGTGATTGGACTGATGCCCAATGTCATGGGGTCGTAGATCAGCTTGTAAGCATAAACAAAGCCAGCCTCATTGACCTGAAGAGAAATTTTAAATAAATAAAATTATGCATGTACAGACACATAAACAGTGTGAACTTGTCAAATTTGCATACCTCCAGAGTGCTGCCACAGTCATGCAGCTCCGACTCAAAGATCAGCACATGAGACAAGTGGTCGATCTCAGCAGGTGGACAGCCTCCGAGTGTGATTTCATCTGGCTTCACCAGCTTGCCAATGCCCAGCAGGTCCTGACTCACCTCCACCTGGACCTTACTCTCACCACACTTCACAGCCACCCGATTTGACACCATTGGCTCTGGCACTTTGAGCTGGACAGGAGGCCTGGTCACTGGCTCCACAGGATCTTCTGGAAATTTCCATTTGAGTTTATCATATGCTGACTGAATCCACTTGGAGTGGAACCTACCAGCTGACTCAGCAAGCAGACTAGAGTGGTGTCTTTGAGGTCCAACAGCTGACTTCAACTCTTTCGCTGCTTGAGGAGATTGTGTCCCAGCCATCCAGTAACCTGGTGGTCTCACACCACGGAAACCGCCGCTCACCCCAACACCTGCCAGAACAAAGCTGAGCACAATGAGCTGCATGGACTCCATTGCTGCATGCAAACATTTGTCTCCACTGCTTTTTAAACACTGAGACAGTGACTCCTCCCTCAGCTTCATGAAGTCAATCCTCTTCACACCTGGGGATGTCACAGCTGCTCATCATTAACTAATTGCTGCATCGTGAAGTTCTCAGCACCAAGTTCAACACTCATCAGTTTGCAGAACAGTCAATCAGACTAGTCAATCTACTTTACTAGAACTACAACAAACGTCATTCAGAATACAAATGATGGGACTGACAGTGATGTTTTTATGGACACCAGCACATCTAGGGATCAGAGGGAATGAAGCAGCGGACAGGGCAGCAAAGGATTAAATCTCCTGATGCTGCTCAATAATCCAGGTAGAAAAATCTAAAAAAGTTCAGTCTGGTCCTCTGGACGTTCAAAAAACAAAACAAAACCAAAAATGTAGAAACGTTTCGTCTTTCGAATGAAAGACGAAACGTTTCTACATTTTTGGTTTTGTTATTTGAACGTCCAGAGGACCAGACTGAACTTTTTTTTTCTAGAAAAGATCAAATTAATTTGACAATATCCATCAATAAATCAGAAGTAAGAACCACAGTGAAACAAAAAGTAAGAGTCAATGACAAAAACAATGGGAAGAAGAACACAAAGCAAGATGGCGCTACAGAATTCAGAGACAAGTGGGAGAAATGAGAAGAGTTCAATTCAAGTCTGTTTATTTTTATAGAGCCAAGTCACAACACATGTCGTCTCAGGTCACTGAACAGAGGACGGAGGACCAGAAGAGAATAAGACTAAAAACTAGATTAAACTTTGGACATACTGGACTTAACAGCACATTATACGACATTCAAAAACATGATACAGGACGATGTGAGCACTGTGGACAGGAGGAAACAAAAGAACACGTCAGTTTGAGCTGTCAGAAATGTGAACATCACAGAAGGCGTATGATAGAACAATTAGGAAAAATCAAAGTAACTTTTAGTATAATAAATATATTACAAAAGGAAACGAGAAGTAAAAGTATACAAATTATTATAAATTTTTTTAGAAACAAAATTAGAAAAGAGAATATAACATGATTGCAGATATATAGCCAGTTTGATCCACACTCCACACCAGTAGGTGGTGGTAATGCACACCTTCCGTTGTTTGTCAACTGCCATAAAACTCCATTAAGAAGAAGACGTTATCAGAATAAATACATATATTAAGAAAATATGGCAGGAAAAAATTGGGACATTACTGATACAGGAAGACATTTACATAACATTCAGAAAAAGGTAGAATATACAAGGAAAGCAGGAAGAAACAGGAAATTAGAATCAATAATTTCTCGTATTAGAATAGGACACACAGGCCTTCATAAATGTCTTCAAATAATTGGAAAGCATGCAAAGGGACTATGTGACAAGTGCACCAGTAATCTCCCTGTAATGGTCCAACCGGTCTTTATGGAATGTCCAGGGTATGAACCAGAAGTATTTCCAACAAGAAATAAATAAAATGAATATTAAATTTACAATTAGGGAAGGCTTTAGTAGTGATATCAGTAAAGTTAAAAACCAAATAATTATTTTATTGAAAAATACAAACTTAATAGAGAGAATTTAGTTGAGTTATTAAATTAATTTTACAGAATTAGTTCTTATTTTCCCCGTGACTCCTGTCCACACTCCAGCTCAGTAGGTGGCGGTAATGCATCTTACAATTGGTCTGCCAACCGCCATAAAACATTTGAAGAAGAAGAAGAAGTTATCAGCACCTGCAGAATTTCAGATAAGACAAGGAAGAAAAGTTTGTGGCATTCATATGTCATATTATCAACGTAACTATCCAAATGAAAAAGAAAAGTGATAAAATAAAAACAGTAGTAGCAGCTGCAGGAAAATTTTTGGACATGAAAGAATTACAAGCAGATCAGATTCATTCTCTGTTAAATTCAGTTGAATCATCAGGAAACAGCCAAGGAAAGGAATAGGATGGTCTTTCATATTCTACAATGGAATGCTAGGAGTATTATTGCTAATGGACAAGAACTTAAAAAAATTATTTATGAATTAAAAGTAGCTCCAGACATAATATGTATACAGGAAACATGGTTAAAACCCATTTTAGAATTTAAAATACAGGGCTACGATTCAGTAAGGAAAGACAGAACTGTCGGAAATAGAGGAGGAGGGTGTGCTACTTTTATTAAAAAAGGAATAGCATATAAGGAAATTGCCAACAACTCAGAATATGAATGTGTGATTATAGAAATATACAATCTAAAAAGTATTGGTCATCTTAGAGTAGTAAATTATTACAACCCATGTAAAACAATAGAAAAGGATATGTTTAAAGAATTAACTGGAAATATACTCAGGAAAGAAATATGGTGTGGAGACTTTAACGCATACAATAGCCTGTGTGGTAGTAGCACAACAGATTATAATGGCAATATAATAGAAGAATGGATGGATGACAGATCAATGGTTTGTTTGAATGATGGACAAGGAACAAGAGTTAATATCAATAATGGAACAGTTTCCTGTATAGATTTAACAATAGTATCAGATTCTCTAGGTAAATCATGTGAATGGGGTGTGAACGGAGACTCAACTCTGGGAAGCG